TTAACAATATTGAATTTTTTAATCTATAAAAATGGTGTATCTCTCCATTTATTTAGATCTTTAATTTTTTGGTAGTGTTAGGTTTCAGAGTATGTCTTGCACATATTTTGTTAAATTTATCTCTAAGTATTTCATATTTTGATACTGTTGTCAATGGTAGTTTTTCATAAACTTTTAATTTTAAATATTATTAGGTTTATAGGAAAGTTGCAGTAAATGATAGTTTTTTTTAAAAAAAGTGTCCATTTTCTCATTGCTAGCATATAGAAATGCAGTACATTTTTTTGTATATTTACCTTGTATCCTGCAACTTTTGCTAAATTCACTTATTAGATTTAGTAGCTTCTTTGGTAGAGTACTTAAGATTTTCTACATAGACATCACGTTGTCTGCAAATATCAGATTTACTCCTTCCTTTTGAATCTTTATCCCTTTTATTTCTTTTCCTTGTATTATATTTGTGGCTAGAACCTCCAGTACAGTGTTGAATAGATGTATTGAAGTGGACATACTTGCCTGGTTTCCAGTCTTAGGGGGAAGGTATTTAGTCTTTAACCATTAAGCATTTTTGACTATGTTTTTTTCTAGATACCCTTCTAGCCCTAATTAGTTTAGAGCTTTTATCTTGAGTGAGTAGTGAATTATGTCAAATGTTTTTTCTGGAACTATTGAATAATCATATGGCTTCTCTTTTTCATTCTATTAATACAGTGAGTTACATTAACTGATTTCCGATGTTAAGTGAAACTTGCAATCCTGGCTAAAGCACACTTAATCATAATGTAATATCCTTTTTATATATTGCTGGATTCAATAGCCTGTTTTTTAGGGGGTTTGCATCTGTCTTCATGAAGGATACTGGTATGTAGTTTTCTTTCTTGGTCAGGTTTGGGTATCAGGGTAATGCTGGCTTCATAAAATACTGGGAAATGTTCCCCTCTCATCTTTTTCTGCAAGAGTTTGTGAAAAATTGGTACTATTTCTTCCTTATGTGTTTGGTAGATTTTGTCTGGCCCTGACATTTTCTTTGTGAGAAGGAGTCCAACTGCAATTTCAGTTTTTAAAATAGATACAGGAATATGAATATTTCTTCTTGTGTGAACTTTAATAATATCTTTATTTCAAGAAATGTATGTGCATAAAATTGTTTATAATATCCACTTCTAATCCCTGTAATGTTTGTAGGATTTGTAGTGATGTCCCCGCTTTCATTCTTTGTATTGGTAATTTGTGTCTACTGTTTTTTTTCTGATAACTCTAGGTATAGGTTTACCAATTTTCTTGATCTTTTCAGAGAACCAGCTTTTAGTTTCATTGATTTCTTTTTTCTTATGTGGACCATTTTTACAGTCTTTATTGAATTTGTTACAATATTGTTTCTGTTTTATGTTTTGGCTTTTTGGCCGCAAGGCATATGGGATCTTAGCTCCCCGATCAGGGATCGAACCTGCACCCCCTGCACTGGAAGGCGACGTTTTAATCACTGGACTGCCAGGGAAGTCCCTAGTTTCATTGATTTTTCTCTAACATGTTTCTTACGTAGTTCATTGATATTTGTGTGTATATTTATTATTTACTTCCATTCAGTTTTTTAAAATTTCCTTCTCTTCCTAGTTTTTTAAGGTGAATCATAGATCGTTGGCTTGAGAACTTTTCTACTTAGCATTTGATGCTGTAAATTCCCCTTAAGTATTGCTTTAGCTATATCTCACATATTTTGGTATGTTGTGTTTTCACTTTCATTTAGTCCAGAATTTTAAAAATTTTCCTTGTGTTTTTTTTCTTTTACCTATGGATTATTTAGAAGAGTATTGTTTAATTTGTAAGTATTTTGAGAATTTTTCAAATTTCTTTAAGTTATTGATTTTTAGTTTAATCTCATTGTGCTTAGAGATTTACTTTGTATGATTTCAGTCCTTTTACATTTGTTGAGGCTTGTTTTATGGCCCAGAATTCAGTCTGTCTTGGTGAATGTTCCACGTGCACCCGAAGTTGCACTTGAATTTGTATTCTGCTGTTGTTGGGAGGAATGCTTTATCAATATCAATTAGGTCATGTTGGTTGATATTGTTATTACAAACTTGTATATCCTTAGTAATTCTCTATGTGTTCTATCAGTTACTGAGAGAGAAGTGTTAATTTCCAGTAATAGTTGTGGATTTTTCTGTTTCTCCTTAATGTTTTAATTATTAATGTTTTCTACGTGTATTTTGAAGCTTTGCTATTAGGTACATAAATATTTACAGTTGCTAGATCCTCCTCCAACACAAATCACCTCTTTATCATTATGTATGCTCCTGTTTGTCCCTGGTAATATTCCTTGTTCAAAAATATATCTTAGGGCTTCCCTGGTGGCGCAGTGGTTGGGAGTCCGCCTGCCGATGCAGGGGGCGTGGGTTCGTGCCCCGGTCCGGGAGGATCCTGCGTGTCGTGGAGCGCCTGAGCCTGCGCGTCCGGAGCCTGTGCTCCGCAGTGGGAGAGGCCACAACAGTGAGAGGCCCGTGTACCGAAAAAAAAAAAAAAAAAAAAAAAAAAAATATATATATATATATATATATATATATATATATATATTAACCTTATATCGTGGTAGGCAGAATGGTTCCCCCAGAGACATCCAGGCCATTAAGCCCTGGAACCTATGAATATGTTATGTTACACGGTAAAGGGGATTTTGCAGATGTCTTTAAGGTTACAGTATTAGTTTTTATTGCAGCCGTGACAAATTACCACAGATTTAGTGTCTTAAAACTACACAAACTTATTATCTCATAGTTCTGTAGGTCAGAAGTACAGGTACAGCATGGCTCAGTTGGATCTTCTGCTTAGAGTCTCACAAGGCTGGAATCAAGGTGTCAGCAGGGCTCTGTACCTTTCTTGAGGCTCTGGAGATTAATCTGCTTCCAAACTCATTTGGGTTGTTGTCAGAATTTAGTTCCTCGTGGTTGTAGGGCTGACGACCCCATTTCCTTGCTGGCTGTCAGCTAGGAGTTATTCTCACCTTCTAGAGTCGGCTTGCATTCCTTGGCTCATGACTCCCGTCCTCCATCTTCAAAGCCAGCAAAGGCAGGTGGAGTCCTTCTCACTTTTGGAATCTCACTGACTTCCCCTTCTGCCTTATCTCTCCTCTTCTGCCACATCTCTCTGACTTACTTGTATGCCTTCCTCTTCTGCTTTTAAGGGCTCATATGATTACACTGGACACAACTGGATAATCTGGGATAATCTCCATATTTTAAAGTTGGCTGATTAGCACCCTTAATTCCATCTGCAGAGTCCTTTCATGGTAGTACGTAGATTAGTGCTTGACTGAATAACTGAGGACAGGAATCTTGGGGAACATATTTAGAATTCTGCCTACCACAGTTGTGGACTTTAAGATAGGAAGAGTATCCTGGATTATCCAGGTGGACCCAATCTAATCACATGAGGTCTTAAAAGCATAGCACTTTCTCTGGAAGCAGGAGCCATATGGCAAAAGAAGTCAGAAGCATGAGAAAGATTCAATATGCTGCTGCTGGCTTTGAATGTAAAGGCCTATGTTCTTCTCAGAGAGAGAACCCTAGGACCTAAGGGCAGCCTCCAGCTGACAGCCAGCAAAGAAACTAAGATCTTAGCCCTACAACCACAAGAAACAGGATTGCCAACAACCTGAATGAACTTGGAAACAGATTCTTCCCAGAGTCACCTGAGAAGAGCCCAGTCAACTGACATCTTGATTTAATTTATGAGACTCTGAGCAGAGAAACCAACTAAACCTGTCTGGACTTCTGACACACACAGCTGTGAGATAATAAATTTGCGTTCTTTTAAGCTGCTAAGTTTGTGGTAATTTGTTATAGCAGCAATAGAAGACTAAAACAGATATTAGTAAAGTCACTCTTTCTTCTGGTTAGTGTTTGCCTGGTATAACTTCTTCTGTCCTTATTATCTATCTGTCACTTTGTAGATAGATAAAGTAGGTTTCTTATAGATAGCATAGAGTTATCTTGCTGTTTTAAATCCAGCCTGACAATCTTTGTCTTTTAATTGGTATTTAGACCATTTATATTTCATGTAATTGTCAATGGGGTTGGGTTTTAACTGCCTTCTTACTGCAGTCTGGAAATTGCCTCCAGGCAGTAAGCTGGGGCATTGATAGAGTTTATCTCCTTTGTTTTCTTTCTTTCTGCCATCACGGTCCTTCACTGCCTGTTGTTCACTGTCTGAAAACTGTTGTTTCATATATTTTGTCCAGTTTCTTGTTTAAGGTGGGAAGGAAAACTCCATCCCTCTTACTGTATCAAAGCTGGAAGTAGAAGTCCTCAACAATGTAATTTCTAATTAATATTTTAAAAACATCCTCTTCATGAAGTCCCTTTTATGTGAAATATGAGTGTATGTTTATATGTATAATTCAGTCACAAAAAGGATAATACATATACTAAAATATTACTATATATGAATATGGCAGATGGCTACCTGTTTAAAAATAGAATCAAATAATTAGTCAGTGACAGAACTTGACCATATCCTGAACCTGTCCACTTTTTTCAGTCTCCATGTCTTGATGGCTAGTTCCTTCCGCTTGGAGTGCTTCCTCAGCTCCTATCCTTTCCTGCCTGGCAGCTTTCCATGTATCCTCCAGAACCAGCTCCAGGGTCATCACCTGTCTGCTTCCCAGTCCCCCCAGACAGAATCCGTATTTCTTCTTCTGGGCTGCCGTCACACTCCACCCATAGAACCATTATGGCACATGCCATGCTGTGTTGTAAGTATATGTTTCTGTGTGGACTCCCTCCTACCAGGAAGCCCTGGGAAGCAGGAAACTTATTTTAGTCTTCTTTATATTTGTCTTATCCTCTAACAACAGTATGTCTTCTACATAGAATTTTTGATATATGATTATTGAATTAGTGACTCTTTTCATGTGCTAAAAAGCAATGTTGTTATTACTCCTCATTTTAATATCACATATTTGTAAGTACGAATCCTCTTTAATCATTTTGCTTTTCTCCTAGTAAATTCCTCATCTATGCCTGTCTGCTGCTGTTCTCTGTGTTGCTGGCCCTTCGTCTGGATGGCATCATTCAGTGGAGTTACTGGGCTGTCTTTGCTCCAATATGGCTGTGGAAGTTAATGGTCATTGTTGGAGCCTCAGTTGGAACTGGAGTCTGGGCACGAAATCCGCAATATCGGTAATACTGCTTTATAAAACCTTTTGGTCTCTACTCTGAGCCGGGGGGGTGGGCAGTATCTTGTTTTTCACTTTATCAAAAGTCAGGACTATTTTCTTTTCTACCTCTCTGAGGTTTTATAAGAACTATAATATAGGCAAGCTGAGTTCTGTTCTAAGTTTTTAAAAATTAAGTGTTTGCTATCCACTTTTTAACAAATGCACTCTTATTTTAGGTGCTTAAGTTCCTAGCCAGCCTACAAAAGCTTAAGTAATCTAACATGCAGGCAAAGTATAGAACTGTTATACCGTGCTAGACAAGGACGTATAAAACCATCATGTTTGTAGGAGCAGTTCTACAAACCACAGGTCTAGCTTTGGCCATCAGGGATATATCCTTCTCCACTCAGTCCTGGAACTGGGTCTCCCCTTGTCCCAATCTCCTAGTCCTGGGGTTTTAGGACTGTTAGTGTGGAGGAGGCAGCTTGGCCAGGAAACAGTTAGGTCCTAAGACAGGAAAAGGTGAGACCCAGATGCCGTGAAGGAGAGCAGAGCCTTGGGGGCCGGGCAGAGCGTACCCTTTACCTTCACCCCCACCTCCCCTCACGCCTTTCTTCTTGGACGGTGTTCTTCTGGTCCAAGTTCCTGTCGTGAGCTCACTCCAGTGTGCAGCCTGGTGCTGCTGGGGCCCACAAGAGTCTCTGCCCTCCCTCACAAAGTTTGGAACTTTGGAAAGGAAAAAGGGGGACTTGAGAGTGAGGGGCTGTTCTAAACCATCACCAGGAAGATGAGGAGTGAAGAAATGCCGGGTAGGCAGGTGGGGAGAGAAGAGGGGGACTTGAGAGTGAGGGGCTGTTCTAAACCATCACCAGGAAGATGAGGAGTGAAGAAATGCCGGGTAGGCAGGTGGGGAGAGAAGAGGGGGCAGTGCAGCTGCTCATGTGAGAAAAGTGTACAAGTGGGGACCATCTCAACTTGTTTAAATCTTTGTTATGAACTTTAAAAACGAGATTTAGATCGAGTAAAATATGTTACCGCATACGTATCTAAGAACTTGAAAACAGCTACACAAAGAGCCCTGGCAGATGGGGGACATTCATGTGTAGCTTAGATTTTTTAAGTTCTTAGGTTTTTCTTTTTTAAGATTACCTGTGTGGCCATAAATCTTTTATTTTTTATGAGGTATTTTCAGATATCTAATGTTTGCTACTCAAAGAATGAAAAGTTACATAGCTAAACATTTTAAGTTCCACTAGTTATTTAGAAGCTATCTGAGCTTTTCTCTGTTGGTTACATTTAAGATTCCTTTCAAGATTCCCTTAAGAAAAGGAATTGTATGTGTGTAGTTGAATGTCCTGGATGTACAGACATGGTCATTCTAGTGTCAGTACTGTCCAATGGAACATTGTTGTGTCCTATAGAAATAACCACTGACCTCATTTTCTCTGTGTCCTAAATTTACAAGTATTCATCACCAACATGACACATCACAAATGTTCATCTGTATTTTGAATGAAGCACAGTCAGCCTTGCAAATGCGTTGTTAAGCATTTTCCTAATTAGTGGCCTTATTATGTTTTTAATTGTTAACCTATTAAGTCCAAGCATGATCCTTAGGCAGCTTTAACTGATTTAAAGAACAGTTTTAATGGCTCTTCTTTATCATGTGCAGGTGTCAATTCATCCTAGTGGAATAGAAAGGGAAATAAAAAGGCGTTCGCAATTTTATTTGCATTTTAAAATAGCACCCAACAACAGTTACTGTATTTTCTTGAAATATAGCACACACTTATTCATAAAACTGGAGTTATTTTGATAGTATTGCATGAAATGTGATTTACATGGTTTTTAATTCATTGAGAGACAGGGATCGTGAGATTTAAGGGACATTTCAGTTTTTAGCAGTGGAAGCAATCAGCTTAAATAATCTTGGAAGTCGTTGAACTTAAAGTTATGAACCAGAGTGTTTATGTGCACCGTGAGGAAATAATAACTGTGGCTGTTGCTTCTGAGAATATCTTTATTCCGTTCAAAGTCTAAGTCTGGTTTGATTGTAAATGTTCATTTCTTGTCCTGTAGTGGTTCTTTGATGTTTGAAAGATTGCCTATTAAGGAGGAATGTTGATTTAGCTTTCTACCTGATTTTCCTTAGCCTTTTGTTAAATTTACAAATACAGTCCTTAGTATCCACGGAAGTTGGTATTTGCCCTGAGCTGCTTGCTTGTTATGGAGACTCCAAACTGAGGGTGTTTTTCTTCTCCTTCTGTCCCTTTCCAGAGCAGAAGGGGAGACGTGTGTGGAGTTCAAGGCGATGCTGATCGCGGTGGGCATCCACTTGCTGCTGCTGCTGTTCGAAGTGCTGGTCTGCGACAGGATCGAGCGAGGCAGCCACTTCTGGCTCCTGGTCTTCATGCCGCTCTTCTTCGTTTCCCCAGTGTCTGTGGCAGCTTGTGTTTGGGGCTTTCGACATGACAGGTCATTGGAGGTGAGCTTTCGTATATTTAAGAAGGTTTTAAAATGCAAAATCGTTTGGTCAGTTATTGTAATGGAGACTTCTTGTCCTTGGTTAGGAAGAGGTTGATCACTAACGCTAGATCATGGTACATAAGGAAACGAAAGATGATGGAAATAATCATGTTTCTCTTTCTTGACTTAGAACGCTGGTTTTTCACTGAGGCCATCAGGCTTCTTCCAGCTTCACGTCTTTCCCTGCCCACGTGGATCAGCCAGCTTCTCCTGAGAAACAGAACCAGTAGGATAGATGTAGATGTAGATATAGATGTAGATGTGCAGATAGATATACACATGGGGAGGTTTATTTGAAGGAGCTGGCAAGTCTGAAATTGATGGCGCAGGCTGGCGGGCTGGAGACTCAGCAGGATATCTCCCTCTCCAGGAAACCTCAGTTTTTGCTCTTCAGGCCTTTTAACTGATTGGATGAGACCTACCCACGTCATGGAGGAAAATCTCCTTTTCTTAAAGTCAGTACCCTTACAGCAATACCTAGATCATAGTTTGGTTAAATGACCGGGTACTACAGCCCAGCCAAGCTGACGTGTAAAACTAACCAGCACAGCACCCCAGACCCCATGACCAGCACTTTGTCTGCTCCCTGGTTAGCAGATAACATGTATTGGCCACTTGCTGCGTACCAGGCCCGGGGCTGGACGCTTCCATGCAGTAGGATCTCATTGAAGATCTGCAGCAACCCCGTGACGTGGCTGCACTTGCCACCCCTGGTTTCCAGAAAGGGTAGGGAATTTGTTCCTGGCCGCTTATCCAGGGGCAGGGCCAGGATTCCATTGCAGGCAGCCCGACTCCAAAGCCCGTGCGCCGAACTGCCCAGAAGCTGAGGGCCCACAGCCGGGTCCAGAATGGCTCGAGGGGGGAAACTGGACACTGTGGATGCCGTGTTGAGCTGCGCGGGTCGAGAGCGGAGGAAGAAGACCGCAGTTGGTCAGAAGGGAGAGTGGGAGCTGGTGGGTGGCAGCTCAGGGTACGTGAACCTGGCGAGGGAGGTACCCACAGTGGGAGAGTGATGGAGCCAGGCCCCGGGGCACCACTGGGAACAGGGACCCGAGCGACAGGAGCGGCTGTGCCTGGCACGGGGAGAGCGACCCCTCAGCCCTGGTCCGGGCGGCCATGGAGGGAGGGGAGCCCTGGGGGCCTGCTCTCAACCTCCCTGCGCTTGCCCTCCCGCTTCAGACCCTCTGCCCCGTCGGGTCCTCCAAGAATTTGCTCTTGAACTGGTCCACTCTCCGGCGACCTCGCTCTCTCACCTGAAAGGGAAAACGGAAAACAGCAGCAATACCCCCTCAGGCCTCTGTTTGCCTCTCGTGCATCTTCCTTCCTCACAGAAAGGCTCTGGGAAGCAGTGCGGCAGGGACCCCGCATTCCCTGCTCCGGCACGTGCTCCCCGTGGCCTGTGGCCTCATCCGGGGGCCTCTTGAGCCCCCATCTTGTCTGGCCGCTGGCCGCGCTGTAGCTCCTGACACCCCTGGTCCCTCGACCAGTCTGGCCACCTCTGCCTGCGTTCAGCTCCTTCTCTGAAGTATTCTTCCTCCGTCCGCTCCTTGCACGTTGCTGTTCCATAGGATTCTAGTCCTGGGCGTTTTCTGTCCTCGCTGCGTGCACTTCCTCTGAATGATCTTGTTCACACGTGCTCTCACTTCCTAAATTCGCATTTGTAAACTCCGATTTCTACACGAGCTCCAGACTCATCCAACTTCCCCTGAATCTGTATTCCCTGTATTAGTTCGAGGCACCATTTCCACCCAGTCACACTTACCTGTCTACTTTGTGCCTCTGTTGCTTTGCATTTTTCTCTATTATCTGAGCAAAATGAAGTAAAACCAAGCTTTAAAAATCATTTATAAAAGCTTACATTAAACAAAATCACTGAGATCAAAGCTTCTCGATTTTACTTATTTGGGGCCGTGTTTCTCAGTGGGGCTGGGTATGCTCTTGGCGTTTTGGATAGGAAATGTTTTGTTGAACAGGACTGTGCCCTGCATTTCAGGACACTTATCCCTGACCTCTGCCCACTAAACACTAGCGGAGGTGCTCCCTCAAGTCATTGTGACAGCCATTAGGGCCCCTGCACATTTCCTAGCTCTTCCGCAGGTGAGCAGCATTACCCAGGTTGAAAAGCACTCAGAAAGTTCTATAAATACTGTCGGATGAGGGCTGAGGAGGAGGTTTAAGAAAACTGAAAATTTGGAACTTTGTTTCTTAGAAAGTAAAAGCATATACAAGGACTAGGACTATACTGGGCACGAAACCGTATTTTCCTAATGCAGTGTGGTCACACTTGGCAATCTACCTACGAGAAGAAAGCACATGCCAAGAGTTGAGCTCCCTCCTGGTTCTTGTGTCCCAGGAGGAGTACCTACGTTGGCTAGGGGGTGACTGGGGCTAGGTTCCCCCAGAGCCCTGAAGGAGGAGTCCGGGTGAGCCAGGGTGCCCTGTGCAGGTAGGAAGGGGATGGTATTTTTCAGGCAGAGGAAATAACACATAAGAAGCCATAGATGCAGAAGAAAGTCTGTCATATTGAGTGGACCAGTGACTCAGATATGACTGGAGCACAGTTTTGTAAGATGCAGAGAGTCCTAGAGGTGGAACATGGTGATGGTGTCACAGCCACAGTCATATGGTGGTAATACGAATGAACGTACTTAACACCATTAAACTGTACCCTGAAAGACGGTCAAGACGAAGAGGGTAAGTTTTACATTATGTGTATTTTTCCACAGTAAAAAGAAAAAAAATGCCTGGAGCATGAAGTATAAAGGAGGGAGCCGGGGAGGAGGGGGTCTGCATAGAGGGATTGGGCTGAGTAAGGGCCAGTCCTCAGTCCTCAAGGCATTGCTGAGCTTCCCAGGACACTATAATGAGCTCACAGGGGCACCATGGGATACCAGACATTTCTGAGGGAAAAGCAGTGATCCCTGACATCTGTAGGGACACCCTACGAGCTACTAGCTCCATGTAGTTTACGGCTTTACTATTAGGTCACACTGCATTCATTTCGATAGTGTCATGGAAGAGTCTAAGTTGTTGGCAGTCGCTGGGATGAGAAGGCAATACTGTGCAAAAATCCATACGGAGAGCAGGTGATGAGGGTGGCAGTGTCTTGAGGAGTGGTGCAGTGCCAACAGGCACACACGTCCCACCAGGAATTACTTGTCGTTAGTTAAGAATGGGACACACATAATATTCTTCTTTCAAGTAACGTGAGGTGATTTTTTTTTAGATGGCTACTTAGGATAAGTACTCAGTTTAGATCTAATGACTTAAATCAGTGGAACTGTTAGGTGTTTCTTTTGGCCCAGAGGCCTCAGAAAGAATTGCTGAGTCGCTAAATGCCCTGGGAACTGGGAACTTTGGGGCAGCTCTGGGCCAGGTCACGTGGCGTCCTGTGACTTTCATCCTGTGGGCAGTGATGAGCCCTTGAAGAGCAGTGAGCACTGCAGCCAGAAGGAGGGCCGCCTGCGGGGCATTCGGGAGCACGAGGGCCCGAGGAAGCAGGAGTAGTCGGGATGGGGGCCGGGCTAGGGATGCTAGAGAAGTCTGCACAGTGGAGGACAGGGCCAAGTGCCTGAGCCCGAGGGTGTGGGAAACAGAATGCGGGCTGCCCTCCTGTGTCCTGATTTGGGGAATCAGGCCGCAGCGGTAGCTCCCGGTGAGACAGGGTGAAGGCAGCAAGGTGCGGGAGGTGGGGTAATGAACTCAGGGGGGAGAAGGGCTTCCTCTGAAGTGCCTCAGGGAGGTCGGCTCTGGGCCACAGCAGGAAGGCCAAGGTGGAGACAGGTTGGAGAAGCGAGCAGTAGGAGGTCGCGCGGGCCAGGGATGTGGAGGCTGGCTCTGCTCCCTACCCCAGGGCAGGGTGAGGGAGTGAAAGCACATGTGTTTGTGTCTGAGTCTCTACAGTGGGGAGAGAGGCTGAGTTTAAGGCTTTGGGGGGCATCACCATTTAAGGAGAGGAAAAGGCACATGAAAGGGAACTGTCAGAGACCAGGAGGATGGCGAGACTGCACGCTGGGATCCTCGGAGGAGGGAGGAGTGGTGGGCAATCTCCCACGTTGCAGAAGTGGTCCGACGCTGCAGAGCTGATCAGGTGACCTTGATGAAAGCAGTTTCCCAGTGGTCCTGAGGGTGGAGGCCGGGCCACAGTGGGTGGAGCTTGGAGTGGCAGGGGTGGCCGTAGGGACTCGAGTGTCCATGGTGTCTCACAGAGCTTGATGGTTTGGGGTTATTTTGTGTTGAATGGGAATGAGTTGAACATGTTTCTGTGCTTCTGGGAAGGATCGTGGAGTGGTGGGGTTAAAGATGCAATAAAGAATCCATAATTGATGTCTTGATGTGACAGGGTCCTCGAGGAGCCAGAAAGGAAGGGGTGGGATGCAGGCTGAGTTCCAGGTACAAGAAGAAAGCAGTACAGGGATGATTAAGGACAGAGATGTTTGTGGGTAGGCGCAGAAAGGAAGCTGGGGGAGACCACCAGAGATTGCGTCTCTGCAGATGGCGAGCCTGGAGACAGGCCATTGCCTGGATGAGCATAAAGGGCCGAGCAGCCACTGAGCAGAGGACGAGGCACAAGGCCAGGGCCAGGTTTCTCCTTGACACAGCACTGCTTTGCTCCTCCGGTGCTGAGAATCAGGAGGTTGCAACTTGACATAATAAAACTTTTGCTGCATTATAATTTGCATTGCCTTTTAGTGTGTTAACCAAACAATTGTGGTATTGAATGCAACCGTTATTTTGTTTAACTGATTCTTCTCTTCATTTTTAGTTAGAAATCCTGTGTTCTGTCAACATTCTCCAGTTCATATTCATTGCCTTAAGACTGGACAAGATCATCCACTGGCCGTGGCTTGTATGTAACTTTTTAAATCCTTAAATAAACTTTTCTTTTTATTATAAAAGTTATTCGTGTTTATTGTAGAAATGTCGGAAAAGACAGGCAAGCGAAGGTAATAGGATAATAATCACCCATAATCCACTGGGAGATAACATGGTTAGTGTTTTTTGTTTCCTTGTTTCGGGGTTTATTGTTTCATAAAGATAATTGAGATCATACTGCATGTATAATTTGGTATCCTGCTTTGTTGTTCTAATGTTGTATTATAAGCATTTTTACATGTCAATAAAAGGTTCTTATAAGCATGACTTTTCAAGTTTAATTGATGCAAAATATTCTTCAAATACATTTATGAGACTGTCCCCTCATTTCCGAGTATTGAGGTTGTTGCCGGTGTTTTACAATCATAAATCACGCTGCAGCATGTAATTTTGTGCATAAAAATCTTTGCCTGTTTTTCTTTTTTTCATTGCTTTCCTAGCAAGGACTACAGAAACAGTATTACTGGGCCAGAGGGTGGGAACTTTTTGAGGTTTTGAAATACAAACTGCACTGCCAACTCCCTTTTCAAAAGAGCTGTGCCAGTTTACACTCCTGCCAGGGGTGAAGTCTGAGTCACGCGAGTGACCTCTTGCTTCTGTTAATGGGTGTTCGGTTAAAACTGATCGTGCATAGATAGACAGAAGAATGGATGGAGAGAGAGAGATATATGGCAAGCTGCAAATTAGAGAAAACAGTACGGTTTCAACTAGTAACGCATAGAAAGAAGATGAGACAAAAGGTAGAAGAATTATCTTGCCTCTGGGAGGCGAGGTCTTGCCAGGGTTTGGGGTCTTCTCCCCGGCCCCACCCTGCTTGATGTGTACTTTTGTACATAAGACATTGTCTGTGATTAACATGGTTCACCTTTAAAAAAAACAAAAAGAACAAAGGTAAAAAATATAGTTAAAAAAAGAAAATATTCATTTGGTGACAAGGAAGAAAATATGGGAACATAAGTTACCTCTCTAGTGAATAAAGACAAGATCCATCCCTTCTGCCTAAAATCTTTGATAAAACATTCATAATAAAAAATACTGTTCAGGCACCCATCTTACATCTTCAGGGTGCTGTGTCTAGAGAACAATAATTGGGTTCAGAGCTTTCTGTTGTGCCATGGAGGAAACAAATCTGGGTAAGACCAAAATTTTAGTGTAAGGTGAAATCAGAAAAAAAAAAAAAGATTAGGAATTGTGCATGTTTTCTAAAGATGAACAGAGGAATTTTTCCAGCCCCAGTCCTGTGCAAGTCCCAGCAGATGAAGCAGCCAGATTGCAGGTTTCCCACAGTGTTCAAGAGAAACCAAGTGAGGCTGGTCGCTAACATTCCACCCACGAGGGCCAGGCCTCTGAGTGAGTCTGTTCCCAGACGTGCTTTAGGAGGAGGGACGTAAGGGGAAGCTGTGCACAGCAAACATCCAGTCAGGAGCTCTGAGCTCCTCAGAAGGATTAAAACTCATATACCAACTCAAGTCCTGGGTCTAAAAACGAAAGGTAAAAACTAAAGAACTGTTAGAAGAAAACATAGGAGAAAAATCTTAGGGATCTGGAGTTAGGTGAAGAGTTCCCGGAAGTGGCACCAACAACATGGTCTATAAAAGAAGCTCAAAATTAAAATGAAATTAATGAAAAGACAGGTCACAGACCAGGAGAAAATATTTGCAAAGCAGATGTCTAACCAAGGACATGTATCCAAAGCATCAAGAACTCTCAAAACTCTAAAAGCTCAACAACCTAATTTTAAAATTGACAAAAGACTCGAACCGACTATTCACAAAGAAGATACATATGGCGAATAAGCACATGAAAAGGACATCATTACCCATTCGGGAAAAGCAAATAAAAACAAGGATGAGGTACCACAGCACACTCATCAAAATGGCAAAGATAAGAACCACAATACCAAGTGCTGGGGCAGGCCCGAGGGACCCGGACCCTCGCCCGTCGCTGGTAAAAATGCCAAACTGGGTGGATGCTCTGGAAAACGGCTCGGCAATTTCTTATAAATTAAACATGGAGTTACCACGTGACCTAGCAGTGCCAATCCTGGGTGTTTCCCCTGGGGAAATGTAAACGTACAGCCACACAGAAACCTGGGCACAGATGTTTATAGCAGCCTTATTTGCAATTGCCAAAAGTGGGAAAGCACCAACATCTCCTTCCCAGGGTGACTGGATAGCAGGCTGGGGTGCATCCACCCAGTGGAGCAGCGCTCGGCAATGAAAAGGAGTGACGTGTAGATACACGCAACAACCTGCAGGCATCTCAGAGATGTTCTGCTGATTGGGAGAAGGGAGCCTCAGAAGGTTACATGCTGTATGAGTCCATCTCCATCACGTTCTTGAAGAGACAAAAGTGTCGTGATAGAGGACAGAGCAGCAGCTGCCGGGGGTTATGGGTGGGGCGAGGGGGTGACACAGTGATGGGAGAGCACGAGGGAGTCTGGCAGGGTGAAGGAGCTGTCCTGTGTCCTGCCCGAGGCTCCACAGATCTATACGTGTGTGCGTGAAAAGTCATAGAACCGGACACCAAAGGATAACAGTCAATTTTACTGTTTTGTAAGAGAAAACAAAGGGACAACAGATGTACCCAAGGGGGCCATGCAGAAGGGAGAAAAGGTCACACGGGAGGAGCCTGCTGAGGCCCCCAGGACTCATCGTGTGGGCTTGTGTGTGAGGGTGAAACAAGCTCTTTCTGGTATGACAGCAACTGACACAGAACCCACCTGGGCGAGGCAGCGGAGACCGAGTGGCGGAAGCCTCCCAGCCTCGACTTGCAAGTTCATGGAGGGCCTGGGCCCCCTGCGCAGCCCGGGTTGCCAAGGAGCCTTTGGCCACAGTGCCTCTGGCAGGATGGGAAATGACTGGGAAGAGGGGATGTCCGGGTGAGCCAGGGCGCGGGTGGAGGGGAGGCGGGCAGAGCCCGGGGCCCGCTGAGCGAGCTCACGCCTCAGGGCAGTGGCCGCGAGTCCCGTCACCCTGAGGGCTGCCGGGGCAACGGCAACCCCAACAGTGAGCAGCGGGTCCTCTTCCCACGCTGGCCCCATCCAGGCCTGGCACCGTCTGAAGCGCAGAGATCCAGGAAGGAGTTGGCTCTGCCTACCCTAAAGACCTTTCTCCTCTCCTCCTCCCTTCAGGTCGTGTGTGTCCCCCTGTGGATTCTCATGTCTTTTCTGTGCCTGGTGGTCCTCTACTACATCGTGTGGTCCGTGCTGTTCCTGCGCTCCATGGATGTGATCGCGGAGCAACGGAGGACACACATCACCATGGCGCTGAGCTGGATGACCATTGTCGTGCCGCTCCTTACTTTTGAGGTAAGCTTTCGGCAGAACTCTTGAGGCCCAGCAGCCTGCGCTTCCCCAGCGCAGCAGCTCCCCGGGCGAGCCTGCCAACAGAGGACCACAGGACAGTCAGAGCGGCCTTTCTTTGGGGGCCTGGGGGCTGGCAGTGAGAAGTGTACCTTTCTAGCCACCACGCATCTGAATGTATTGATTTGTCGTCTTCTTTTTTTTTTTTAATTAATTTATTTATTTTGGGCTGTGTTGGGTCTTCATTTCTGTGCGAGGGCTTTCTCTAGTTGCGGCAAGCGGGGACCACTCTTCATTGCGGTGCACGGGCCTCTCACTATCGCGGCCTCTCTTGTTGTGGAGCACAGGCTCCAGACGCGCAGGCTCAGCAGTTGTGGCTCACGGGCCTAGCTGCTCCGCGGCATGTGGGATCCTCCCAGACCGGGGCACGAACCCGTGTCCCCTGCATCAGCAGGCAGATTCTCAACCACTGCGCCACCAGGGAAGCCCCGATTTGTCGTCTTCTAGAAAGAGAAAGTTGGATGTGGTATTTTTGTATTGGAGCCCTGTGGAGAATTATAGAGTGGGCACTGTTGACTCCTCCAACAAAACAGCAGCAAGAGTTTCCCAGAACAGTCCTGATGTTGGAAATGTTGTAGGTGGATGGATTTTGCTTAGTCCTGAAGAGCCATATGAAAGCTCTTCTTGTCCTTTCCCCCAGAATGGAGGGTTACCATTGCCTCCTGTGGAGCGAACGTCCCCCTTACGAGACCTGACGAGGGAGGGGCAGTGCAGTCTGGCTTCAGAGAGGGTCTGTTTTCAGATGCTCCATCGACAGAACCTCAACTGTTTCTCTTTCTTTAGATCCTGCTGGTTCACAAGCTAGACGGCCACAACGCGTTCTCTTGTGTCCCGATATTTGTCCCACTCTGGCTTTCCTTGATCACTCTCATGGCAACCACATTCGGGCAGAAAGGCGGAAACCACTGTATGTACACAGCATTTCCGAAGCGCTTGAACTGTGTGTGTGCGTGTGTGTCTGTGTGCCTGATGCGTGGCTGTGTGTGTGTGTGTGTGTGTGTGTGTATGTGGCCCCACTTTATGAAAAGACGCGCCTAAGGACCCCAGTCAGGGAGTTTCCCTGGGAAAGGTAGGACTGAAGAAGGCCTGGAGTCTTCCAGGGGAAGGGCGTGCCGTCAGCCTTGCTTTCGTGGCCCTATGACCGGAGGGAGGCCTGAGCGCGGCAGGCAGCCTCTCTGAGCCCATCCCCTCCGCTGCAACACCGGGACCAAGATTCCTTTTTCCCGGGGGCTCCTGAGGATGAGATGAAAATCCACATCATCTGCCAAACCCTAACCCTAACCCCTAACCCCTAACCCCTAACCCTAACCCTAACCCCTAACCCCTAACCCTAAACCCTAACCCGTACCCTAACCCGTACCCTAACCCTAACCCTAACCCGTACCCTAACCCTAGCCCTAACCCTAACCCTAACCTAACCCTAACCCTAACCCGTACCCTAACCCGTACCCTAACCCTAACCCGTACCCTAACCCAAACCCAGTGTCTGTTTTGTCCTCGCTCTTGCCAGCGTCATTCCTGAGGTCTCCGAGTCTTGTCAGTGGTGCCCGGCTTCTCTCCCCCTCCACCTGTGTGCTGTGATAGCCCGTTCTGAAGTGCTCTTTGATGAGGGCCCCCTCCTCACTAGACTTTGAGCTCCTTTGCATGTAGCCCCAGAGCACGCCCTTCTGGAGACGAATGCCACCGGGGGTTTTGCCCCAGGAGAGCCAGCGCTGAGCTGACGGTTTAGTGGTACCCAGACCAGAAGAACGGGCCTTGGAGAAGGAGCTTTGAGGCCTGGACCAACACACGCCTGCCATCTTCCTGGACTCCAGAGGGTGATGGAGATCCTTTTCTTGGGTGACATTCTTTGTCACACATGTGTTTCTTCTGGGCCGGGAAGACTGGAGGATGTTGACATAGTCCAGACACCGCAGATACTTGAGGCTCGTGAGAGCAGTAGTTCGCATACTGGAGGACCCATCAGAATCCCAGGACTGCCCCCCGCCACCCCGCCACAGTTTCTGGTTCAGGAGGTGTGGGCTGGGGCCCAAGATCACATCCCTAACAGGCCCCAGGGAGACATCTGGTAGCTGCCAGTCCAGGACTGCCACCTGCAGAGCTGCAGAGCTGCAGGGCTTCCTTCTTACCCTTAGTTGGTACTGAGGCCTTGCTCAGGCTTCATTCCCAAGACATCAGGATAAAGCACTACAGTGTGCAAGGAAAAGTTCTCATTCATGAAAGAAAAGTAACCTGAAATTCAATGGAGACTAGTGTTTGAGAAAGTACATTTCTTCCTTTTCAGGGTGGTTTGGGATTCGCAAGGATTTCTGTCAGTTTCTGCTTGAAATCTGCCCATTTTTGAGAGAATATGGAAACATTTCCTACGACCTCCACCGTGAAGGTAATGAGGAAACTGAAGAAACGCCAGTTCCAGAGCCTCCTAAGATTGCTCCTATGTTTCGAAAGAAGACCAGGGTGGTTATCACCCAGAGCCCTGGAAAGTATGTCCTCCCACCTCCCAAATTAAATATCGAAATGCCAGATTAGACAGCCCCTTCCAGGGCAGATCGTGAGAGGACCTGGCCCGCACTCTCCCGCCTTCCTCTGCCTCTCCGTTCACCTCCCCCACCCCCAGAACTGGAGCTGGAGCTGGGTCTCCGGGGACTTCCATCTCATGCCTTGTTTGCACTCAATGCCTACCAGTGACTCACCACGACAGGACACGCAGGTGACAGGGGCCTGGAACACGCAGCATGGTGTGGGGTGCGTGTCAGCGGCTGTGGATCTGATGGAGGGAGCCTGTGGAGAGGGAAGAAGTGATTTCCCCTGGGAAGGTGCCTGTGGAGCTGGCTTGGAGCCACCCTGGGTGGCTGATTAGGGCTGAGCAGGAATGGCTACACAGCTGGTTTTCAAAGTGTGAAAATTCCCATCAAAAGTGTTATTGAAAAATTATTTTTGAACCAGGCCGGCCTGGCCGCGTAGCTCAGATGCCCCTGTTGTGGCATAGTTAGGGGACTGTGAATAGGCCTCGGGCCCCGTGTGCACCCATGCTGCCTCAGCTGGCCATGCTCCTGCCGTGGACGTCGTTTCTCTCTGGGTTTTTACTGGCCCCATTGGTGAGCCCTTTCTAATGGAGTGACTCCGTGCCTGTATAGTATTTATACAAATATTTTAGCGTTGTAATATACCGTGTTAAATCCTAGTTCTGTACAGTATATTCTGTTAAAGTATTTTTTTACAAGCTTGTACTGAAGACATACGTGTTCTGTTGCAGAAGTAGAGGCCAGTGGCACCCCTGTCCTGCCCATCGGGGTGCCACCCCTTCATGGGACATTGCCATTTCCCCTTCAATTTCTCCACAAACATAGTAGCTGCTACTGCCAGAACGGCCACAATAAGCAGGAAACTGCTTTTTTCTAACATGCTGGGAATACTGACTTGCAGAAAGCCATAAAGCACGACTGGAAGCTGGAGCACTGGAGAAGGGTGCCGAGACTAAACGTGGCCATCAGAGTGTGTGCGTTGAGGTCTGGGGCTTTGTGTCTGCCCCCAAGCTGGGCCCATGCTTTTAGCTAGGAGGACCACGACTCCAGGAGCTGGGGGTACAGCCACAAGTCAGAGGGAAGAAAGCAGATGTGATGGGAACAAGCAGGCCGTGAGTAAAAGAAGGTAAAAGGAGCCCCGGCATTGTCACCTGGGAGCAGGGGAGAGGGGGAGAGGGGGCAGCTGATACCTTGTCTAAACCGGGCTCCGCTGGCATCTACCGCGCCCACCGCTCCGCCCTGGCGCCAGCCTGTAGGAAGCCTGTGCTATCTGAAGGGGGACACTTGGGATGGTGCCAACTTTCCTGCTTGGTGTATAGCAAATGTAGCCCAATCCACTCTTTTCTTCCCCTTTAGCTGTTCAATAAACTGGTTCATCATTTTCCATGTGCACTGTGCGGGTCTTAATTTGGATATGGTCCAGGATGCTGGAAGTCCTGTCAGCGAGCACAAAAGGGAACCTTGAGCCGCCACCAGCAGCCGAGGGGAGCAGGGGTGGGTGAGCATCTCTCAGGAGTCTCCAGGGACAGCCAGAATATGCACTACAGAGAGGAAAGCGGGAGGCCCAGGGATTCGGCTGTTGGCGGGGGAGCACACGGCCACAATGCTGACAGCTGAGGAGGTGCCCGAGAGTGTTTGCAAGTTCCCAGACATTCTAAAGTGGAACTCGGCTTTTCAGTGGTCCTGAGGCATTGCCCAGTCACGTGGGCACCGAGTACCACTTACATCTATGCCAAATGCACTGTGATTTCTGGGTAGCTCACCCTAGCTGTCCCTAGAGACAGTTAACTCAGGTGGCGTTTCAGCAAGAATCGACAAGGAAGGCCAACTTTTGCTGGTGATGGAAGGCTTCCTGCAGGTAGCCAAGGGCCACCGATGGACCATTGCTTAAGCTCCTTAGATTCAAACTCGCTGTGAGACAGCACGCTTCTCCGTAACCACGGTAGCTGTGAGTTAAGTGGCAGGTACCTTGCCTCCTGCTGTATGTCCCCCTGATTCCTCAGGACCCCATGAAGCACGTGCTCCTACGAGTATCCTCGTGGGGAAGCAGAGGCTCTGAGGGCGTGAGCCAGGCAGCTGGGGATCAGCAGGTCTGTGGTGCCGGCCTTGGCATCTTCTGGCCGAGCCCTCGCTCTCACCCACTGGGCTGGGCGCCTGGGCCGTGGGAAGGTGACGTATTGGGTTTGGAGGCGTTTCTTGGTCGTGGAAATCTCAGGAAGATCCTCGAGCCCGTGACCAGAGTAGGGTGGGGGGCATCAGTGGAGGTGGCCGCGCACGTGGGGAGAACGTGCCAGACGGGCGGTTGTGCATGGCCGCCTGTCTGATGTCCGAGCAGCAGGTCCCAGAGCAGGATGGCAGCACTCACGGCCTGGGCAAACCCAGACGGGGGTCCCGTGGACAGCGGTCGGCGGAAAGTGAGCCGCACCGTGGGTGAAGGCTCAGGGCGACCGCCCCGTCCCGGGTGATGGGAGACTAGGTGTGCAGAGTGGGACCAGCCTGGGGTGGACACGTGCAGGCTGAGGAGCCGCAGGGGACAGTGGCCTGACCTCCTCTGTGCCCAGGAGCTCACCCATCACCGCTGCAGCCCCTGCCCTGCACCTCCTGTGGACCGACGGCAGGGCCTGGAGAGGGTCTCTGTGGAGGACCAGCTGCAAGGCCTGTGACGGTGCCGAAACGGCAGGGTGCCTGCACCCTTGACCGTGGGCCCCATCCCGGACGTTGCTCGTGCTTGAAATCATGGGTGCTGTGCACGGCCCGGAAGGCCAGTGGACACACAGGAGGACTTCTGACCTCGTGGGTCACACGTGGGTCCGTGCACGTCTGCCTGGCCCGGGGGCTC